TATAAAAATACTGGATAAAATATATGAAACAAAAGAACTAAAAACAAGAAAAAACATTTTCTGTTGAAAAGATAACTTCTTTTAATTTTCGTTTGAAAAAAGTTAAAGTCCATTTCAAAAACAAATCAAAATTTTTGCACAACTTTTTTGTTCCATATAAATAAGGACCGCAATAAGAAACAATTAGTTGTTCAAATTTAGTTTGGCAGAAAGGTTCTTGTAGATTTTTTCCATTGTGAAGATTGTATTTGTTTTAGGGTTTTACGTTATAAAGGTTTATAAATACATCAAAAGATAAATGATTTTTACATTTAAACTCAAAACATAAAATATTATAAACATTTAGTTCGTATGCATTTAAGGTTTTCATTTCTCTCAGAATTCATTTCTTAATTTAATACTTTATCTGTAATAATTGAGTGATTGATAGTAATTTTTTTCTTCTTTTCGAATGAGGAGTAGAAACTAAACAAATAAAAAATAGCAAACTAAATTTTAATATGAAAAACTATATTGCATAATAATATTTTCATTAACAATATAAGTAGATGCAAAAAGATCAAACTTCAATCTAGACAATAACTAAACAACATATTATTACAAAATTATTGATTGGTGGATCATTATTATTAAAAAATAAATGAGTTTTAATAATAATGAAATAATTTATTACAAGAACTTTGATTTATCATTATAATCTAATAGCATTTTTTAAATTGAAATTATTGCTCAAATAATATTCCAAAGCAGCACACTAGCTTGGTGCAAAATCGGAAAAATGGTCCGATGGTTCCAAGATTTTTTTTCTAATGGAGTATACAGTTCCATAATTCCAAAGATAGACAATTCCCTAATTCCAAAGGCGTTGTGCAATTCACCTTGTTAAGGTGAAAACTAATTCACCTTTTTAAGTTAAACTCTTGTTTATTTTCAAAACAAATTACTTTTATGTTTTACAAAACTAATTATGTCTTTACAATTCATTTTTATAAGTCTTTATATAAACTTCTACAACTCCCAGTATCTTTAAACTGTTCAGCTGCTTTTAATCATGTAAACTTATCAGAACTACTTGTTAATTGAACTAATAATTGAGTCCTAGTTTTTGTTGATTTACAACTATACATTCTTTACACTTAAAACAATGAATTCTTTGAACAATATATATTTTACTAGAAAAGTTCAAAATATTTTATGAAATCTTTTACTTGCAGAAGAATTGATTGAATTATGATGGTTTATTTTATTAATTAGTTATGTCGAAAATATGAATATTTTTTTGCTTGCGACTTTAATAAATTGGCATAAATAAATCAACAGAAGATATAAAAAATAGGATTGTAAAATTCAATAAAGATTTTACTTTTTAAAATATTCTTCTTATAGTTAAATTTTTTTTTTATTTGCGACAACTTTTGCTAAGTATTATTTAGTTCAACCAATATTTTTTGAAATACAGTTTTAAATGAAATATGTAGAGCGTCTGCCGAACTACTATAAAAGTTTGAACTAGCCTTAAACCACCTGAGTAACGCGTTATGATGTATTATTTTACGTTATGATGTATTAATTTAAAATATATTAGTTTAAAATGTGTACATTGTTTATGTTGCTTATGTTTATGTTTGTTAACGAACATAAATATTAGAACATAAACAATATAAATAAAAGTAAATAAAAAACATTAAAAAAACAAACAACGTAAAACATAAATGAAGTAAATATAAGAAACATTAACATAATTAGCATCATCAACGTTAACATAAATATTTTTTTTTTTTTTTTTTTTTTTTTTGATGATAATAATAAACTTTCACAAATATAAAATAAGGTATCTGAAAGAAGATCAAAGGATCTTGTCGTCAGAACCTTAAATAAGTTCAAACAAGCATTAACAGTATCAAATTTTTACAAATTTCATATATATATAATCCAAATATATATTTTATAATCCAAAGAGAGATCACACGGATCTACTCACTAATATTTTATATAAACGTATACGTGAAGTAAAGAATATAAAATCAGCAAAATAAGTAAGAATAAACTTTTTACAAATATAAATAAGAAAAGGCAAAGTTATTAATTTATATTATTAATAATAACATAATACGTCTTCTAATGAAAAAATAAGGGTTTATAATTTGCTTTTAAAAAAACGAAAAGTAATGGGTAGTTCGAAATCAAAATTGGGCAAAACAATTTTATTCCAAAGGTGTGGTGCCCGATAGACAATACAAAATTGATTAAAGTTCGTTTGACAGAAAGGTTCATTTAAAAAATCAGTATTTCTCAAATTGTATTTGTTGATGGGTTTCGGAGTAAAAATATCTTTGAAGACAGATTGAGACAAGTCATTTTTCCACATGTATACAAAGCATAAAACATTATATATATTTAGCTCGTATATATTTAAAATTCTCATTTCAATAAAATAATGTTTTGCGTGAGAAAAGCGATTTGCAAAGCAGATTAAACGGATAGCATGTTTCTACATAAGCATGTTTCTATATAAAATATAAGCAACGTAAACGGCATAAACAATATAAAATAATATCATATTATGTTTATGTTGGTTATGTTGTTTAGGGATGCACATGCCTAAACGACATGACCAACATAAATATATTATGATATTGTTCAATAGTTTCAATAGCTGTAAAGATAAAAATAACATTGTTAATTACTTAGTAAAACATTTTTAGTAATAAATAAAAGACTTGGGGTCGTCCACAAATTACGTCACGGAATTTATGACCATTTAGGACCTTTTACACCCTCGTCACAACATCGTAACTCTTTAGTTACAAGTTTTGTATGAGTCGCAAAACCACAAACCTCTTCCTTCTCCCCCAAAACATGAGTTACCAATTTAATTTCTCAGCTATAGGGCTTAGTCGCGTAACCACATACGAAATTCAATTATTTTCTTTAGTTCTAAATTTTTTTAACGCTTTAGTTTTAAATTGATTATTTGACTAATGTTTAAGGAATTTAAGCAAGACTGAAAATAATTTAAGCAAAAGACTAAAAATAATTTAAGCAAAAGACTGGAGAAATCCAATGTATGGGTGAAATCCAGACCATTATATTGATTTTTCTATATTTGTTTCAGGGTCAAGTTTTATTTAAACATTTAAACTTTAATGTTTAAACAATTAAACACTAAAGTTTGAAATTATTTTTTAAAGCAAAAACATTAAAGTTTAATTAAATTTAATGTTTTTTAGGAATTCAAGATTAAATAAAGATAAATCATGGCGCTTGAACGCAACGACTCAATACCTTAACCACCGCAAAATGAAGACTTTAAAGAATAACCCATAAAGTTTAAGAGTGGATTGAATTTTCTTATCAAAGCTTAGACTTTCCGGTTTTTGTTTGTTCCATTATATCAACTACACAATGTAATTTTCAAAAATTTTCCTGCATCAGTAAAACTTTCAAATCTCCCGCTGATTTTATTTTAAATTTTCGAAAAGGAAAACAGCGGTAATCATTCATTATGCAAACGTAATCAATAACGTAACGCATTACACGTCAAGCTTCCTTCAGCACTTTTCATACAAAGGCATATATAAATACATTTCTCTTTAATAAATTTGTTTCCCAAATTCAGATTTGATACATTTATACAAAAATTTAGTTATCTTTAATTATCAATGTTATAAACCTTTTTAAAATTGTCGTGTTTTAGTTTCTATTAGTTTCCAACAATAGATCCACTTATTTAATAAAAGATCTTAATTGCTTATAAAAACTGGCATTTTTCATAAGAGAAATCATTATTAGTATAATCTTTAGTTTTCCTAAATTATTGAAAGTGATTTGAACTCAAAGATCACAAAAATATTTCAGCGGGCGATATTTGTTGTTGCTCCACATGCGCAGATGAATCAGAGATAACATTGTCGCAACGGAAAAACCTCGCTGCGCAAATAGTTAAAAGTTTTTTTTACTTTTTGCTCATCGACTATTTATTGCTTAAAAATAAACCAATCAATTTTGTTTAAAATAATAACAGAAAAATTAACAAAGATGTATGATGTTGAGTATAATAAAGATAATGGAAAAGAACAAAATTGAAGATAATGTCAAAGAGAAATTCGACGAAGAAAGCTTTAACGAGGCTGTAGCATGTTTCGATGTCTCTGGGACATAAACAATAAAGCGCTGTCTCTGGTGTCTAAATAAATAACAAATACTACAAATACATAAGTACGAAAATGAACTCATGGATGACAGCTCCGGTGTTTAACAAAATTTAAATTTCAGCCAGACAAAAAACACAATTTCCATCGAATTTACTCTCATATCTTTTTTATGTTTAAGCAAGCGCCGTGTTTTTTTTATAAATTAGTCGGACTTAACCATAAACTGTATATAGAATGTAATTTTTATATAAACTGTATATAGAATGTAACTTTTATATATATAAATAAAAAAACTTTATACTAGCACGTTATTTCAAACGAAGCTTTGAAGTTACTTTATAGATTTAAAAAAAGACGAAAAATTGAATGGAATATAGTCTTAAATTTATATGTAATTGTTTATAAGCATTTAAAAAACTCGAAGATTTTGCTTTTGTTTTGGTTGTGTAAAGATCTTTTAAACGTTACAAAAACTCTTTTCTTCTGTTATTCCGTGCCATAACACATTCAATTTCACAGCAAAAGTACTCGTTATCTCGTTAGTGAAAATAGGTTTAAAGCTATGTGATCTCTCTTTTTTGTTTTTGTCTTTTTGGGGTGTGTTGTCAAGGGCACAAAAGGAGTCTTACAGTTATACCATTTTGTGTTAATTAGCGGGACTGATGTAGCTGGATTGCCATTACTCATTGCTTAGGGTGCTATGTACTATTTATAATTGAGTCAAAATCTCTAGTTATTAAAAACATAAATAAAATAACTAAAATAATAATACAAAAAAACTCTCAATATCTCGATTAACTCGAGAAATTTATAAACAATCTGATATCTCGAGAAATTACAAACAACTTGATATCTCGAAAAATTTGAGAAATCTTGAATCTCAAAAATACAAATTACTACAGGAAATTTTGAGTTACAATAAAGAAATTTTACAATTTATTTTCTGGTAAATTTAAATTTTACAATTTATTTGTTAGTAAAAAATGTAAAACGTGAAATTTCAAGTTTAAAAAAACAAAATGATTAACGATTGCATAGCACGACGAAATTTTGAAAGAAGTTAATTATTAAAACTTGAAGAACCATTTATATTCACAACAGATGGATCAAATGGTGTTCCTTTAAAAGGAGAACCTTCTGCATCCCAAGCTTTTTTCAACAAATCGTGAGTTTTCTAAACGGAAATTCCTATATATATATATATATATATATATATATATATATATATATATATATATATATATATATATATATATATATATATATATATATATATATATATATATATATATATATATATATATATATATATATATATATATATATATATATATATATATATATATATATATATATATATATATATATATATATATATATATATATGTATATATATATATATATATATATATATATATATATATATATATATATATATATATATATATATATATATATTATAATTTATTATATTTATAACTTATTATTGCTCAATGTTCTTTTAAGAACATTGAGCAATAAAATGTATTCTATTTTGTAGAATACATTTTAAAAATTTATATATATATATTAGGGTGGGCCAAAAAAAATTTTTTCTTGATTTTTGACTCGTTATACTGCAAAAAACTTGTCTTTAGGGTACCTAAGGATAATGCAAAAAAAAAAAAAATTAATATTTTATGCCTTATTTTTGTCAACAACATGATCATTTGATCATGATTGGTTACTATACCAAAATCATGCAAAACACTTGAGGCAATAGTTGCTGTTGCTGTCTGATAATTCATAGCGATCGCTAGTCAGAGCAGTATTTTTAATTATAATGCGCATCTGCCATGATGGCTTAGTTAGCTTAAATTCTTCTAATTCTTTATCGATGAGTTCTTCAATGGTTACGGAGGCATTACTATCGAACTCTTTTTGCTTTAGTGTTTCATCTAAATGGTCTGAACATGAATGTTGCGATAATAGATTATTAGCGGGAAGAGTTCTTTTAAGTTCAGCAAATTTTCTATCGTGTCTTTGTGTAATTTTTTTTGTTTCTTTTATGCAACACTTCCAATTCTACCAATACCATGCATTCTTTGGAAGTACAAAAATTTTAGTTCGTTGATGGGGATTTTTTTTTCCTTTTTCAAATTTACAGAGAATTGAAACAGAACACTCGCATTCACAAATTCTAGTGACCATTTTACATTTGCAGTTTAATGTTATTATACACTTACACGTCGCGACATCAAACAATTATAATGAATTTTTTTTTAAATCTATAACTCTCTTTTTGAACCTTTTTCTTTATCTTTCGATTTCATAAGATTGCGATAATTGTCATGCTATCCATTTATTAATTGGACAATTCTGTAAATCGTTACTGTGGGTATTGAAGCTTTATCAAACACTGATTTAACTTGTTGTGTGACACAATTTGAAACATAAGAAAAATTAACTGGCTTATTTTTTGATTTCAAGGCTAATTTGTAATTTTCATTAAAACAACACTTGAGAACTTCATAAGTTGGAAATTTATTTACAGAAAATTCTATTAGATGACCAATAATCTAGCAACTAAATTTGCTACGAGTAATTTTTTTAAAAAACAGCCATGGCAGATTGGTTAATATTATCAAATAATCAAAACAAAATTATATCAAAACAAGTTGTTGTGGCAAAAAACACACCAATTTGCAGCGCATTTTGGGAATACTCTAATGCGAACTTTATTACAAAAATGATAACAAGCAAAAATTTACTCGAATATTTAAGTACGATACCCTAGCTCCAGATGTAAAATATTTGTATTATTATTTTTGCATTTTTTTTTAGATACCCTTGAGGCATGTTTTCCGCAGTATAGCAAATCCAAAATCAGAATATATATATATATATATATATATATATATATATATATATATATATATATATATATATATATATATATATATACACACACACACATATATGTACACATATAATATGTGTACAACAATAAATGCTGACTTTAAACTATTTTTGGTTGGTACAAAACTTTTTACACAAAAGTTTTATCATAATAACGTAGAAACAAGATTGATACAAATTTGCTGAACTCACACAATTTTAGGTCAGAATTGCTGAATGCCAACCTTAATTCCGAGGGCTGTATGTATGTTTGTATTTATATATATATACTTTGTAGACTTAGGTGTGCTTATATACTTTGCACATTTTCACAGTTTTGAAGGCCTGGCTTTTTTGATAATTTTATTTCCATAATAAGTGTAACATTACGGTTGACTTGCCATAACAAAATGTTACAGAAATTTAGAAATCCTGTACATATCAGTAATCCTGCCACTTTTAGGTCAGCATTGAATTGAATGTCATTGTTTTAGTAAAACTTTGGTGTTTAAAATTTTGTGTCAACCAAAAAAATAGTTTAAGGTCAGCAATACAAACACAACACATACACACATATTTATTTTACATATACATATACATATACATATACATATACATATATATATATATATATATATATATATATATATATATATATATATATATATATATATATATATATATATATATATATATATATATATATATATATATATATATATATATATATATATATATATATATAAATAAACCTGTTCCTCGCTTGTTGGTTTCCCCATTAATTTTTGTTGCTGATCATACATCACTTTGCGAATATCAGACTGGGTTTGTTCATCAAAATCATGTACATTTTGCGTAGTATCAATACTTTGCTTATCAATTTCTTTAGCACCCACAATTACTGAAGTCCACCATTTATGCTGACATTTCTCAAGATTTATAAGTATGTGCTTACCAGGCTCAAGACTCCACATTGAATCTTCAATCTTAATGCGATTGGTCAATTCACCATCAATAAGTATTGGATTATCAAACCCACTCTCTATTGAAAAAATTTAAGAAACCTAAGCAAATAAAGAAAATCCTACACAACTATAATAATTGACTGTCACAGAACTTAAATAAGCTTTAAAATCTAAAAAATAAGCAAAACCCCTTCGCCTTCCCTAACTCTTTCTTTTTAAATTTTTAACATTGCAATTATATAAAAAAACATGCTTATGGTAAAGCCAGGTAAAAAGTGAAGGCATAAAAAATATTCTCAAAGTAATCAATTGAGACGGAACTTAAAATTATAATAAAATAAATATATCTTGGTTGTGTATATGTAATTTTAATAAATAAATTTTTGATAAACATCTAAGTTTATTTCATAATCAGTTTGTATTTTTTTTTTTTTTTTTTTTTTGATAAACATCTAAGTTTATTTCATAATCAGTTTGTATTTATTTTTTTGATAAACATTTAAGTTTATTTTATAATCAGTTTGTATTTATTTTTTTTGATAAACATCTAAGTTTATTTCATAATCAGTTTGTATATATATATATATATTTTTGATAAACATCTAAGTTTATTTCATAATCAGTTTTTATTTTATTTTTTTTAGTTTTGTTGATAAACATCTAAGTTTATTTCATAATCAGTTTGTATTTATTTTTTTTGATAAACATTTAAGTTTATTTCATAATCAGTTTGTATTTATTTTTTTTGATAAACATCTTATTTTATTTCATAATCAATTTGTATATATATATTTTTTTGATAAACATTTAAGTTTATTTCATAATCAGTTTTTTTTTTTTTTTTTTTTTTTTGATAAACATCTAAGTTTATTTCATAATCAGTTTTTTTTTTTTTTTGTTATACTAATTTGTAACTTATATATACAGTTATCTATATAAAAGATATTGATTTCAGTCAATCTTAATTCAAATTATAATATTTTTAAAATTTAAATATTGTTTTCTTGAAAGCTTAAATAAAATTAGTATTAGATGTAAAAACATATTATAAATAATATGTTTTTACATCTTTAGAATATTATTTTTATATATTTAATTTAATTTTGTCTGTAACTGTTTAATTTAGTTTTTTTTTTCTTTTTTTTAAACAATGATGATTTATGAAAATTACATATTTTACTCTTTTGCCCACTTATAGTAGTAAATAATTTTAATAAAGTTTTATAGGAAATTCTTACGATTCTTTTACGTTTATTAGTTATTACAGTAGTAATACTACTGTTAACATGTTTATTTGTTACTACAGTAGTAATACTGTGGTATTGACAATAGTAGCTATATTTAGTTAATCAACGTCTAGCTCTACACAATAGCAGCTATATTATTTAGTTAATCAATGCCTAACTCTACACAATAGTAGCTATGTTATTTAGTTAATCAACGCCTAGCTCTACACAATAATTGTGTAGAGCTAGGCGTTGATTAACTAAATAATTAGCTATTAGTTATATTAGCCAAATATTTTTATTTATTTTTATTCCTTTTTTTTTTCTAAAAGTCATTTAAAAATATGTAAAATAATGCTTTTGTAATTTAAGATTAAAACTTTTTTTCCATTTTTATTTATTTTCATGTACTGACAAGTTGTACTTGGCTTTCTTTCTCTGGTGCCTGCTGTTGTAACCCATTTTAAAAAGAAACTAATAACTGATATTATGTGGTCTTTTCACATTGTTAATTAAAAGCCAAGACATAACTAAAAGCAAGCAGAACTAAAAAATATATATAGAGAGAGATTTGTATTTCATTAAACTTTTCAGATAAGTTTAACTTTTCAGATAAATTAAACTGTTTTTAATGATTTATTTACTAATAACCTGTAGTACAGGTTGCTTACTGCTAGTTTACATTATTAGTAAAAAACTTAATGCAGTATAAGACTGATATTCAAACAAAACTCAACTTAGAAAGTTTTATAATTTGTAGGATTTCCTAAAGAATCTGAAATTTGCCAACAACTGCCCCCCTCCCCCTAATTAGATGCTTCCAGGGGCCTATGCATAATAAATAATAAAAAAATGCACTTTATTTTGTAAGTACATTTTTCTAGAAAACTTCAATATGATCATATAGTACTACTTCATTATTTCAAAAGCTGTAATTTTTTAATTAATATATTACATTTGAAAAAAATTACCCCTCCTTATATTTGATCTCTATATTATACAATCTACAGGCCCATAGCAACCGGGGAATGAGGGGGGGCAGCTAAACTAAATAAAATAAATGTGTGTAAAATATTCAACAACTGTGAATTGGTTATATTTTTAAAAAATATTTCTATCCAAAAATATAGGGGCTCTTATTGTAAAATAACTTTTTATAAATATGGATAACCTAGCAAATATGACAGTTTCTTTGAGCAAAATAAATGAAAACATAAAAGAAACAAAACTACTTACCTTGGCATGGATGCTTATTTAAAAAAACTTTTAATGAATTTGATTGAATTTTAATAGTGACATCACTAGATTTTTTGATAGATGATGGAACAGGAACCTTAATATCTACATCTGTAAGATTTTGTGACCATGTATATGTATTTTCAACTCCACCATTATAGCATTCTGAGGACATTAGTTCACTATAAAAATATGTAAAGATAACATTAATTTATTAGAACACAAAGAAAAGAATTGAAAAAAAAAAAAAAAGAGAAGCTTTTTAAGATTTAAAAGCAACATTTTCTTTTAAAATTTTCTAAAAAAATCATCTTGCAAAAATGATTTTTTTAGCTTAAGTGATACAAATGATTTATATTGACTCAGACAAATTTTTGAAGATGAAAATTAAAATTTACTTCAAGTGATATACAATGATTGTGTGCAATAAGCAATGTTCATTTTGTTGATTTATATTATAACCAATATTCATTACACTTCATTCACATCATAACTAATATGCTATGATGAATGAAACAAAACATAAGAATTTGAAAAATTTAGAATTTCAAATGTTTTGGGCATAATATAAATATAATCTTACTTTCTAACCTTGTACTTCCTTTATTATTTTTATCTTTTATTTTTTCACCTTTTTCATCTTTCTGCTGTGTGTTCTTTATTTCAACATAATTTGAAACCATAGGAACATCATCTTCATTTGTGCTTGATTTTTTAGACAAAGAAACATCCTTTAAGTCAGCAAAAAAATTATACAAACAAATAAAACAAATATATATATATATATATATATATATATATATATATATATATATATATATATATATATATATATATATATATAATACAGGCTTTGGCAGGAATGACAGGCTATAGCCCGTGTCCGTCTCCGCACCCGTCTAAGTCAGTTTAGACGGGCGAAATAAAGCATGTCTGAAACATAAGTTTTGTGTAAAAAAAAAGATGAACATTTTGATGTTTTTTTATTAAGATACTCTTTTAAAACTTCTCTCATGACATAGTTTTAATATGGATAGCAAACTCCAACTTTTAATTGTTTATATTTAAATATAAAAATTAAACAATTTAATCATTATTGTATAACATGATGTAGAAAATAATATAACTAAATCTTACAGTTTTTTAAACGACGATAACTGTTTGATATAATACCAAACAGTTACCATATTATGTTCAAAATTTAATAACTATTATATTAAATAGGGAAATATACACATGTGATGCACAAGAAGTATCATATTTTTTTGGTTTTTCAATGTTTATAATAATAACGATAATAAACTAATTATCCATGTATTTCGCTTTTTTCCGATAAACTAGTTTGTCTTACTTTAAAGACATTTAAAGTGATATTTCCGCGTTAACTTCCGCGTTAACTTCATGTTTTTTCTTAAAGAGACGGCAGTTTATTTAATATGCAATTATATAACTCGTTATTGAAAATGAAATATCTCATTAAAAATCAACAAACGTCTAATCAATTTTTGTAGATAATATAAATAGTGTTGCTTTATAGTTATGAAGTTATTCAAGTTATCCAGTCATTCAAGTTTTTCAAGTTATTCAAGTTTTTCAGTAAAGATAGTAATGGCATCATCTGGTAGAAGAGTTACATTAGCAACATTTTTGAGTTGGGGTAAAGATGGAGTCTGTGGAAAAGAAACTGAGGTGGAGAATGGAACAATTTTTGTTGTGAAGATATGGTGTATGGTTTGTATAAAATATAAAAAAGAATTGCTTCGCGAGTTAAAAGGTCTGGCAAAATCAAAAGCATTAGCATTTATAGAGGGCACTACGAACATTAAAGCTAGCAACATACATACGCTTATATACATGCTTATATTGTATATAAAGTAACGGAAGCCCCGGTATCTTAAGAAATTATTAGTACTTCTAAATAAAAACTTATTTTATTAAAAGAAATTAGATTTCAAATTTTTATTCACGTATCAGAATAACTATTTCCGATCAGGATAGGCATAGGTAAAGCAAAGTTATAAAAATATAAATAACAGTTTAAGTTTTTAATTTGCACGCCCAATAGAATCCAAGAGTATATAAATAATTGAATTTGAAAAATAACATAGTTACGTATCATATTACCAAGCTAATACCAAACAATTCTAAAACTATCGAGCTCATTGATTCAAGGTTAAAAAAAAAAAAGATTTCAAACTATTTGCTGAATAATTAAAAAAATTAGATTTTGAAAATTTTATGTAATATTTTTATTCACAAAGAATAAGAGAAACGAATGAACTAAAAAAGCACGATAAAAACCTGTATAATTTAATCGAATACTTGAATAAAACAATAATATATAAATATACTCAAAAAGACTTCGGTAAAAAAACACGTTAGGATGCTTGAATAAGGAAACGTGATGAAACGCCATGGTTGTTTCGAGGATTTTTCCCATCGTTTTCACGTTCATTCGTTTGACTATATCTACCAGATATTATCTGGAATAAAGATTAAAAAAAAAAAACATAAAAAACTGAATAAAGTTCCTTCGAGTAAGAAATCTAAACAAAAGCAACCATAAAACAACTAACCCACGTGAAACGAAATTAGATCTGTGCAAGTGAAAACTTTGAAAAACAATTATTGAAATCTTAGTTTTAAGTATTATCCAACTCATTTACTGCAGTGTTTTAATTACTTAAGTAATTAAGCATTTTAAACAGTTAATCGCTTTCTAACATATAATTTTAGTGTAATTCACAAAATGTTTAATATTCAATGACATTTTCATTCAAAAAGAAGAAGAGAAATTAACAAATTTAAAAAAAAAAAAGTTCAAACTTTAGAATTTATTTTAAAGTTTAAAAAAGCCCGTGCAAGACCATCTAGACGGGCGGCCCTCATAGCCCGCCAAGTCTATTTAAGACGGGCTTTTCATAGCCCGTACAGTTTTTATTCCTGCCGAAGCCTGTATATATATATATAATTCTTAAAAGGGACATAAAGTGCGTCCACATGTTCAGATAATAAAAACAACCTTAAAGTGCATAAACATGTTCAGATGATAAAACAACCTTAAAAAAAATTTAAACATGCTAAACATGTTAAATTGAAAATTTTTTAGAGATATATCCATAAAAATTTTAACACAAATATTATGTGACATCACTTTTCCTTACTTTCCCAAAAGTTAATTATACTTTATTAGGGAACAGTTGTTATACTTTGTCATAATTATGTGTGACACAAGTGCAAATAAACATGTAGCTCTGTGCTTTAATTGCTTTTTATTTTATTTTTTTATTGTTATGAGTCGGTTTTGAAAAATAATATTTTTTAAAAATTGTTTAAATATATATATATATATTATATAAAAAGATTGAAACACAATTCCTTTTTAAAAAGAAAATATATAGTAAACTCAAACTCGAATTAAAAATTAATTTGTGACATTTTTAGAAATTTAAAAATATAAAACTTTTATCTTTTGAATTTTTAGTTTAGAATTAAGTGAAACACATAAATTAACAATTTTCCAGGGGTGTAAAGTTAATGTTTACAAACAATTCTTTGTAATTAATATAAACAGAAGAAATAAAGCAACTTAAACATTTGACATTCTTTGGTAATTTAAATAAAATGTGTTGATTTTAAACAATCATTAGAAGTAAATCGTTACTTTATTTAAAAGCCTTTGCATATTATAAATTTTTAAGAAAAGATCAATGGTTCAAAGTAATTGTTAACATAATTTAAAACAATTATTTTTAGCACATTTTTGAAATGCCTTGTCAAAACACATTATCAAAACTTGACCGGCAAGTTGTCAAAATATATATATGTGTGTGATTAGGAATGGTGTGCAATTGCAAACCCTTCCTATCCAAATCTGATATATTAGATACTAGCAATTTTTGGTATTAAGTTCAAGCTGGAGTAGATAGTTTATAAGAAATTAAAAGTTAACTAGTAGTGATTTTATTTGAAAAATCAACATAAACAAACCGCTTTAAACATAAATAAACCGCTTTTAAGACAACATTTTTCTTAGGAGAAATGGCTCATTAAAAATAAGTAAGGGGAAAACAAAATAAAAACATTCCAGCGGAAGTTTATTAATTTTTCTGCATTAAGTTGAAGTTTTCAAACTTAAAAGATAAATATATTTTATTAAATTTAAAAACAAAATATCTGAAAATTTTTTTTTTTTTGTTAACTGTCTATCTAAACCCAAACAAGTTGCAACAGTTAAAACCATGTTTTTTATAAATTTTTTATTTACATAGGTTTGTTCAAATAAATAGCTTTTATGTAAAACTTTTATGTAAAACAGAACCCAAAAATGTCTAAAAAGTTATAAAAATTAAAAAGTAAAATATTTATGTTTCATTATACATAAAAATACGCAGGAAAATGTTTTATACCAACACTCATTTTAAAAATTCATTAACTATAACTCACTTTAGTTTATGTTTCATAATGAATGTTAAAAAATGCTTGTATCTAATATTTTTATTTCATTCACACAAAAAAAAAATTTCAATAAAAATCATTGTCACAAATCTCCAGTTACCACTTTAGCAAATTTAAAAAATTTAATAAAAAAAAAAAAAAACACAAAAACATACATACATTTACAGGTTCTTTTTTTTGCTTATTTTTGTTGTATAAAGGATCAGTTTTAAGAACTTCAGATTGATACTTTTTGAAAATCTAAAAAACAATTTACTCTATTTATAATGAGACTTTGAAGCTTTAAACTATTTATGTTTCTTTTTACCAAAGTTAATATATTATCTATAATATAAAAGCCAGCTTAATCTTGCCTTTATCTTAATCTTAACCTTTATCTATATAAAAATCTTCTTTTTAAAAATTTTTTTTATTTTTATAAAATTCTTTTTTTTTAATAATTATTAAGTAATCAGTTATTTTTTCATACCTTATTTTGTTGAGTTATTCTATACTTTGTAAAAAAATATTTAGCATCTTTTGTCATAAGATTTTTTCACTGTACCATGCAGTGAAAAATTATGAATGTTCATTATTAATCGATAATAATTTTTATTAAATAAACTATGACATGGTTTGTTTAACAAAATTTATTGTTGATTAATAACCTAAATTACCTAAAATTTGTTATAATTTTCATTAAATAAACTATGACATGGTTTGTTTAATGAAATTTATTGTCAATTAATACCCTAAATTACCTACAATTTGTTATAATTTTTTCTCAAAGTGAGAAGTGTTTAATTTTTTTAATCTATTTTTTTTTATTTTTTTTTTAAACTTTGATTATTTAATTAAGTTCATTTATTTTTATATTAATTTAGATATATATAATTTATATTAATATATAAATATAGCTTTAAATTAAAAATACTTTAAAATAATTTTCAAATAACATAAATACAACTTTGAAATTAAAATATTTTAAAATAATTTATACACATTATTTTATTTTTAATATACATTCATATTATTTTTAAATACAAGAGTTTTAACAAACAACACCAGAACCTTTACAAGTTACGGAAAATGCTTTAAAAAGAGCATGACTATTAAAAACTTGAAATGCACACTGTTAAAAGGTGGAGTTTATAGAGTTTAAAAACATTTAACATGGCCTATTTTTCATGTGTGTATATATGTGTGTGTGTGTGTGTGTGTGTGTGTGTGTGTGTGTGTGTGTGTGTGTGTGTGTGTGTGTCTGTGTGTATGTGTGTGTGTGTGTGTGTGTGTGTGTTTGTGTGTGTGTGTGTGTGTGTGTGTGTGTGTGTGTGTGTGTGTGTGTGTGTGTGTGTGTGTGTGTGTGTGTGTGTGTGTGTGTGTGTGTGTGTGTGTGTGTGTGTGTGTGTGTGTGTGATTCTTTTTTTATATGATTTATAAAATTTAAAAACAACTTGTCACATACCTATATTAGTTATTTTATATAGGTTATATTGCATAATATTATACAAGTACAAATGCATATAGGCATATAGCATATATAAACTCTTAAACCACAATAGAAGAAACAATTGATTGATATAAACTCCACGTACTGTTAATAAAACCTTTTCCGCTACACCAGGTGGAAATCCTAATTTGTCATCTTTACTGTGCATTAAATGAAAAAAATCTGTTTTTCTTGACAAGAAGTTAAATATGCTTTCAAGAAAAGGCTCAATTTTGCCACAATGCTGTAATATACCAAGAAATACATCATCAAATTTAGACATCTCTTCAGAGGTAGCCATTTTTATTACAATAACAATAGTGATTGAAACTAGCGATTATACTAAAAAAAAAGCGAATTTATACCATACTTTATTAACTATTTTTACTACGTTTAAAATTTAGTGTTATCGATCCATACTGTGAAATTTTAACTGTTGTAATAGTCATACATCAAATCCACCATTCTTTTTAAAATCGCCGAAGGTCTGTTGAATCTTCATTTTGTAATGTAAATTATATCCAGATTTTTCAGCTCCATCTTTCTATTAAATTGATTTATAGATAGTCCAACAATAATTATATACTGAATTTTAATTGCTTTTTTACTTATTTTGTATAACTGTCTATATTGTTAATGTAAATTATTTTTGTAAGTCGTTTTCTTTCTCTAGTTGACCAAAATGGGGAGAAGACCGGCAAGATGGTAAACTATAATTACTATACAATAAAAATATTTATGTTCCAAGTAAACTGTAATAGTTCTATCAAAAATAAAATTTTTATGTCTAATTATTCTAGCTATCGTTACTGCAAGAACAAGCCCTACCCTAAGTCAAGATTTTGTCGTGGTGTTCCAGGTAGACAAACTTTAGTATAAATTAAATAATATGTTAAATATAGTAAAGCAGTTGTATATTATTTATAATATTATTCGTATATTATATATAATATTGTATATTATATATATTATTAGTTGTATATTATATATATTATTAGTTGTATATTATATATAATATTATTTTTTTAAATATTAATACTATGTATAAACTTAAATACTGTTTAACTCATGAATTTATTTTCATGAATCAATCTACACAGATTAGTGTGTACAATACAAAGTATAGTATAAAGTGTTTTGAGTGTAAAAATGTTGTCGTTACTTCTGCTTTTTACTGCTTTATTAGACTGCTATGGTAATTAAGTAGTTTTGTTTTGTTGCAAATCAATTATGAGACTTGTGTTACAATTCTGATGTTTAAATACTCACATTTTATATGCTAATCAGCTCAAAAGATATAATTACAGGGTGGCTTCACAGAAATTGTGGAAATGTCATAGAGTTTTTTTTTTGGTCGTGGAAAAAATTCATTTGTATTTCTAATATTAATTAATGAAAAACTTTTCAAATGATCTTTATTTTATCCCACTAGTGATATTTTAAAGATATTTGCAAAAAAAAGTACTATTGTGAAAAGATGTTATTGCAGTTTAAGTTATAGATAATCATTTGATTATCAAATTGCAATCAATCAGGTCAGGTTACCCTTTTCAGAAAATAGGTTACATTAGTAAAGTGCATGGCAAACACTAGATATTTTGCTCTACCAATTTATCATGGAAGGTCACTGTACTTCTTTTTTAAATTTAAATGGCCACGCTAAATTAGTAATAATAGCACTGTTTTGGTTTCCATTTATAATTTAATACTTATTAAAAATTGAATATTTTTATGTTTTAATGGTATTAGAATTCAAATATATTTTATTAAATAGAAATTATTTGAATTTAAATATTGAAAACATTAAACTATGATGTACCAAGAAATGATTTAATTCGTTTCAAACGAATGTTATTATACTAAAAACCATATCCTGACCCCAAGGTTGACAAGGCTATGGTTTGCTATAATACTTGATTTGCTTAAAACATGTTTATTACCAACTTTAAGGGGTGTCCAAAATGTAAGCTCATGAAGTATTAAATTGTAGTTGTAATGTATTGTATTTGTGTTGTAAAGTTACATCTTATGTTCTATGTATTGCTACATTTGTGTCTAGATTATTTTTCCTTTTTAATAAAATTAATGTAGATTTTGTAGTGTCATTGTTAATGAGCAGGATTTGCAACTTTCATCTGTATTTTTTGGAATTTTGATGATTTTTTTTGGCTACTGTGACATTTTAGATACTGCATAGCCAATTCTCTCAAATCTAATCAATAGATTTAAGGGCCAGACACTATGCAAAATTATTACCTTTTTTTATCAATAAATATTCAATTACACTATAGTGTTTGAATATTTTAAAAAGTTTTTGTTTCAAATACTTTTTAAATTATTGTTAAATGAGGGAAACATGGTTTTTTGTTATAGTTCTTTTTATTTATTTTTTAATAAATTTTAAATTAAGTAATAATTATAATATAAGTTTAATTTAGATCCTAAGATTCGCATTTTTGATTTGGGAAAGAAAAAAACTGATGTTGATGAATTTCCAAAATGTGTCAATCTTGTTTCTGATGAATATGAGCAGCTTTCATCAGAAGGTCTTGAGGCTGCAAGAATCTGTGCTAACAAGTATATGATTAAAGTTGCCGGTAAAGATGCTTTTCACATTCGAATGCGTGTTCATCCATATCACATTGTTCGAATCAATAAGATGTTGTCATGTGCCGGGGCTGATAGGCTCCAAACTGGAATGAGAGGTGCTTTTGGTAAACCACAAGGAACTGTAGCTCGTGTACATATTGGACAACCTTTAATCTCTATTCGTTGTAAAGATGCTCATGAGGCAGTTGCCATTGAAGCTTTAAGAAGAGCCAAGTTCAAGTTCCCTGGTCGTCAAAAGGTTTGTTTAGTTGCTTTTTTTTATAAGTGATTACTGTACTTTTTTTTGTTAATTAGTTAGACAGTTGAGACAGAAAAATTATGAAATATTTAATAAACCTTTTAAATGTAATTTTATTCAGATATTTGTGTCTAAAAAATGGGGTTTTACAAAATGGGACAGAAGTGAATATGAGGAGAGACGCAGAAATGGATCTATTAAACCTGATGGAACGAATGTTCAATATTTTCCAGACAAGGGACCTTTAAGTCGATGGAAGCACATGCAACAGCAATCTTAATGGCGAAATATATCATGTTAACAAACTTCTGTTTTTTAATATTGTGTAATCCTTTATGTTTTTACATGAGGTATCATTCTTGTGAAAGTGAGCGACTTCTTAAATCAGGAAGCTAGAGAGTGATTTCGAGCTCGGTGATCATTTTTTCGTTTCGAGCCCGGTGATCAGATTTCCTTAGTTTTATAAGCCTTAAGGGAAAGCAGTTGCAGCAAAAAGTTATTCAGGTTGTATTAAGAAAATAAGGTCGTCAAAAAGAATCTTTACAAGACGAGTATGTTGTTAGATATAGCTTAATTTTCAAGAGTTATAATAATATGAAATCACATTGCCCTCAAAACTTGGATAGTTATAAAGATGATTTTGAGTTGTTATTTGGTTCACGTTATTTTTTTTCTAAGAAAATGATATGGGCTCTAATTTATGAAAAAAACTAAAATCGTAAAAATTATTAGAATGAGACGACTATAATTTATTTTCACAAATTTTGTTCAATACCAAATTTCGTATTTGCGCAAATATTACATTATAATTATTAAATATTGGGCTCTTTTGCCAAATATAATTTGGCAAAAGAGCCCAAGATTCATTTATCGGATTAAAATTTTTTCCAAAACAATTGTTTTGATTTTAATAAGATTTAAAATAAAAGTGTTAGGTGAAATAAAGTTTAACACAAATATTCTGCTCGGTTGCGAGTTTTTGACTTAATTGATGGTATTCTCTTGATATTGTATTAACTTTAAAATATTGCAAAAGATAGACGACATTTAAAGACCTTGTACGGAACTGCCTGTTTCTTCATGAGTATGTCTAGCCAATTGGCACTCTAAAAATCGTACAGATTATAAACAGTGAGATAGTTAGGGGCTTCGCGTCTAAGCGATGCAAATGTCTTAACGTTACAAAAACCTATTCAAATTCGTGGATAAATAGAATTAAGGTTTTTGTGTTTAAAGCAACTAATATAGCTGTAGGAGATAAAGTACGCGCACCTTAGCATGCGCTAATGGTGCTAGAAAATACGATTTGCATGAGATAGGAAAGACATCCAATGTCGGTGTTTAGACACCACACTAACTGAAGGCTGGTCAGATGCGTTCGCGAGCGGAGTCCTGAATCAAACTAATATCTTTGCACCGCGCAAAATTTAGTGTTATAATTAAAAATAAAAGTTAATATTGTAATAAATAATATCGAGTTTACCATTGAGAAGAAAAGCTATTGTTTCGTTATTTCGTATACAATTATTGTAATGGTGGAGCTCATTTTGCGACTAGCTAGCTTTAAAAGGGACTTTTATATTCGCATATACTGCGTCTTCAAAAATTTGCTTATTATTATCGGATCATGGCGATACTTATTACAGGCCTTCCCGTCGCGAATCCGTATTTTTGACTGGGGGCGGACAATCTTACGGAAAAATATAAAAAATGGCTAGAAAAGTTTGCGAACTAATCCATTATTTTTAGTTAGTTTACTAAATTTTAAAAAGTAATGTATTAATGCAAAAAATGTCTATTGCAGTGTTTATTAAGAATCTTCAAATTTAAAATAAAAAAAAACTTTTTGAAAAAAAGAATAAAATACAATATTTTTCAGAATAATGAGTAATTATTTAAAATCTAAATCACAAAAAAATGAACCAACTATAAAATGCAAAAAAACAAAAAGGAAAAAAACATAATATACATCAATTAAAAAGAAAAAAATATTAAAATATACATCAATAATGTTATAAAAAAATGTACATAATAATTTTTTAATGTTATACAGATAACTTTAAAACTTTCAATGCAGGTTCTTTATTGGACTTGGGTGAAAAAAGCAAACAATAATTTTTAAGAAATATGTTTGATAATATTGTACCATGTTTCTTTAACATATTAAAGTTATAAATATCAGATATCATCATGAAAGTATTACACAATGACTTTCTACACATTTTGTTTTTCTCAATTTCAAAAAAAATGAAACAAAAAAATACCCACTGCACACAGCAATCGAGAGGTATATTCAATCCACCGCGGTCTATAGTTTTTGTATAGTCTCCATATAACTGAAAATAAAATGCAGTATCATTAAACAAATCATTTTCACTAACATCATCTTTTCTTGTAGCATAACCTGCAATATAAAACAAAGCCATTTTTGTACTCAATGACAAAGATGATTCTAGTTCAGGTAATTGATTAATGATGTCACAAGATTCTTCACTTATAAAATAGCCACATTTTTGACAAGAATGCTCGATATCAATAGCATAATCTGTAACATCCACTTTTAATTGCAATAACAGTTTAGCTTTGTCAATGTTTAACTTTTCAACAACATTTTGAACTGTTATAAAGAATGTTCCACCTGAACCTTGCCTAAACTTACTGAATGCTTTTTCAATGTAATCTGTTGAAAACTCTCCTAACATAACATAATCAAAATTGTTTTTTAGCAAATATTTACACATCTCGACAACTCCATAACATGTATGCCAAATTGAAGTACCTGTATCTTTAGTTAAAGATTTCATTCTATGACCTTGTTCACCACTCATTTTAAATGCCATATCTCCAAAATCAAGTAAGTACTGCAAATTTATGTCTGATTCTTCAGAAATAACTCTCTTACGAGAATCTGAAAATTTCATATCACCATAAATTTCTTTTACACTTACAATTTTCCAAAATTTAGTAACTTTTTCTAAAAAACAAATAGTTTCATTCATATTGCAAGGGTGGATAACTTTTGAATAAGTTTTGAGAGCAGCTATAGTTTCGTCGCAAAATACTCTTAAACAATGTGATACTTTTTGTCTTTCAATGGGTTTTGGATGTATAGCTATAAAATTTAGTCTTGATAACTTAATTAACTGATCTTTTTCAAAATCTAAGATACATTTAAGGTCACTCCACTTGGCAGTCAAATTTTGGTCTTTTTCAAATTGTAATTCCTGCATTTTTTCTGTAATCCAGTTATTCCTAATATTTTTTAGCAGATGAACATAATCAAAAAGGAGAAAAATTCCACATTTTGTTAACCATGGTTTTCCTTCAACTCTCTCAAATAATTTAAAAAAAGCTTGATTTGTTCGATTGCCATCACAAATAACTGAAATTACATTTCCATTGCTAGACTTAATCAAATTAATGACATAGCATACTTGCTCAAACAAAAAAGAAGCATCCAAACGACAGACAGGTATCATTTTGCATATAAAAGATGGTCCACCTTTTAAACATTTAACCATAATACCCAAAACACTATTTGCTAACAACTCTGGATTATTTTCTGCTTTTCCAAAAAGATAACCACCATGATAGAGAAGATGAGACTTTACATAAACTTCATCCACCATAAGTATACAATTTCTATGATTTTCCTCTAAATTTGAAAAAATGGTACTAATAAAGTCAATGTCTGAAACTTTTTTTGTCATAGATGTAATTTTTGTTAATGTTTTTACACTTGGCAATTTAAAATCTTTTCGTACCTGATTGTATAAGCATCGAGACGTTGAAAAATAACAATAGGATCTGATTATAGTTTCTACATTATAAATTTTTGTACCTATTTCTGATGCATTCATAGATGTAATAAGATCTTGTAATACTAACTTTTGATGATCAATTTCAATGTTGTTCAAAAAGCGAATTGTTTCTTCAACTCTTGACCAGCGATCAAGATATGCTATACGATTTTTTGATAGTGAAGAAATAAAACAACGAACACCAGCATGAAAACTTTCAAATTTAAAATTGCTTGAGATATGAACAGCAAACATAGGTATACAGTTAACATAAAAGGAATTTGATTGGATGTGCAGGACATCATTTATAACAAAAGTAGTTACAGGACAAATAAATTTACGATTTTTAATATCTTCACATAAAAAAATGAAAGTAAACAAATCGTTTTTTAAATATTGCGACAACTCATCACACTTTTCAGTTCTGATAGAAGACAACACTTTAGTAGTGGACCTTGGTTTTAAAGGTTGAGTTGGTACAACACTAGCTGGAATGTTTGGAAAAATTGAAGGAGGTTCAATTGGTCTAACTTTCCCATTGACAATAGTTGTTAAAAAATTTTCTGGAAAATGTCTTTCACAGACAACAGTATCTGGTTTATTTGGAAAATTACTTCTAGGAATTGAATTTATCCAACGATTTCTTTCTTTTTTATTGGAGGGAAGCCTAAAAACTCGTACTTTATTTTTAGCGTCATAGTTTCCTCTACATTCAGGAACACAGCACTTTTTAACCATTTATTGTAATAATCAATTACTCACAAATCGAACTTTAAAAAAAACTAAAATATATCTTTCCGTAAGATTGTCCGCCCCCAGTCAAAAATACGGATTCGCGACGGGAAGGCCTGTAATAAGTATCGCCATGTATCGGATCTAAAATTTTTATATGAACTTGTAACATTGTGATTTAATGTAACATGATGTTATCTAAATATCGCAGCTCTGTACAGTGAGCCAGAAACCACTTTTACTGAATATAATTCGTCATAAAAAAGATAAAGAACCATTTTGCACAGTTTACTAATTTGAGGATTACTGTTCTAACAGTGACATTATTTTTAACTATGGGTTGCTATGGATACCTAAATTGCTTAGCAACGATATATTTTATTACCTTAACAAATATAAAGTAGTAAAAGTAATAACTTTATTGGATTTCTCCCATAATTACCACATTTGGATACTTCAAATGTAGTGGTACAACGTATTTTTTATTTGGTTGATAGTGACATCTAAAATGCCTGACGCATTTTTCATAGTTACTAAGTAACTTTTCTCCAAGCATCAATGTTTTAACAATAATATTAATGTCTGATTAAAAATCATTTTATACATTTAGAAATGTTATTTTTTTAAATTTTATTTTATTAAAGAGCTTGGTGATATACATATATATATATATATATATATATATATATATATATATATATATATATATATATATATATATATATATATATTTATATATATATATATATATATATATATATATATATATATAT